AACCCGGAGGGAGGGAGTAAGGGGCGGGGCCCCTTTGTACCCAGCCAATGGCTCTCCATAGAGGTGGGGACAGTTCCAAAAAGGGGTGGCTCTCTTTGTAAACACCCCAAAGCAGTGATGTCTATAATCACCATGGCCGTTCGTGGAGGCTTAGCGTTATTTTAGAGGAAGGCGGGCTCTATTCGCAACTGGCCAATGGATGAGGTCAGGGAAGAGGGGCGTTTTAAAAAGGCGTGGAGTTGGGCGCCTAGGTGGCTCAGTTGGTTAAGCAACTGCCTTCGACTCGGGTCATGGTCCTGGAGTCCCGGGATCGAGTCCCACGTCGGGCTCCCTGCTCAGCGGGGAGTCTGCTTCTCCCTCTGACCCTCTTCCCTCTCGTGCTCTCTCTCATTCTCTCTCTCTCTCTCTCTCTCTCTCTCAAATAAGTAAATAAAATCTTAAAAAAAAAATAAATAAAAAAAATAAAAAAGGCGTGGAGTTTACTTGTAAATGTCCCATGGCCACAACCAGAAGACAGCCTTATTTTTTCAGGGATTGGTCCCATCCAAAATCAGCCTCTAGGAGGAGCACTCCAAAAGAGGGATTTTTTTTTTTAGTCATCAGCCAATCCTAATGCTCAAAGGAGGGCTCACGCCTCAAGTGGGAGGGAGAACTATAAAAAGAACCAATGGCAATCGTAGGTAACGGGGAATTTTTTTTAAAGGGCGGAGTTTATATCTAGCCAATAGTAATACCTCCTCTTCTCCACTCTCCTCACTTCCTTCGCGAGGTTGGTCCCTTTAAATTCCAACCCTCCCACCTTCACTGTAGTCCAAAGGAGCACTTTCACTCACGCACTTTACCTAGAAGGAGTGGTTCCAATGTGAATTCTGATTGGTCCGTGCTATCGAGGCACTGCCCCGTGATTGGCTCCCGCTCCAGATGCCCCCACGGCTCTTCCTCCTTCAGGTCCCGCGAGGGCTCGTCAGGCCAAGAGTTCGAATCCCGGGATCCGGGTGGGGATGGGGTACCCGCCTGGGGGGTTCCAGAGCCGGGGCTGGGCTGCAGAGTCAAGACTTGCGGCGGCGGTGGCGGCGGTGAGGACTGAGGGAGTCCGAGTTGTAGGTCCAGTTCTGGCGCGTTAGAAAGAGAAGGCCATGAGCTTTCACCTTGGAGGTGCCCTGAGGAGAGACCACCCACCCCTTGTGGCTTCGGTCCCAGCACCTCAGACATCTCACCTTTCCCAGCCTCTCCAACCTCCGACCCGTCGGGCTCCTCGTCCTCCAGCGGGGTGGAGCTACTGGTGGCAGAGTCTTCTCCGGACCCTGCTCCCCGGGCTGCCCAGCCCAGCTGGTCCAGCTGGAGCCCTAGGTCCTCCAGGGGGCGTTCGGCCGGAGGGGCAGTGTCAGGGTCACCGCGGCGCCCAGGTTCCGGGGATTGGCTCAGGCTGGGGATGCTCTCCAAACTGTCTCCCAAGCCGGGCTGAGGGGGTGGGTCTCGCGGTTCCGAGACTGAGCGGCCTTGGGGCCGAGGGCGGCGGGCAGCTGAATCCCGGCGCGCTCCAGAACCCACCACACCGTCGAAGGCGATGTAGGAGAAGGTCAGCTCCCGGGGGGTGCCCCAGTCCTGCGATGTGGTCTCTTCCTCATCGTCCTCTGAGAATTCTCGGGCAGTGTGAAGCTCCCGAAAATCCGAGTCGTCATTCCCTCCTGCAGTAAGCAAAGGAAGGTATGAGCTACACTAAGCGGGACCAAGACCCACTCTCTTCAACCCCCCTACCCAGCTGTGAGCCCCTTTGAGTCCCGCTCTCACATTCTCCCCCTCCACTTACCTTCTGTGGAGTCAGGGGTAGAGGACGCTGTAGACGGAGCTTCTTCTGCGAGAGGGAAAGAATCGAAGATTCTTAGAAGCTTAGACTGTCGGAATCACAGAAGTGTGCCAGTCCTGGAAACTTGGACGGTCCGAATTAAGGAATCTTAGAATACTTGAACCACAGGACCTTTAGAACATTCTACATACAGACTGTAAAGCCTTACTGTAGTGCTATCAGAAGCTCAGCCGTATAAGTTCAAATCCAGGAATCTTAATCTTAAGAGTCTTCAAATTAGGAATTTTAGGAGGTTTCAATTAGTTCATTCTTTCAAAAACCATTTATTGAACACCTACTATGTACCAGGCACCGTTTGAGACTGAGAATACAAATGTGAACAAAACAGACAAAATCCCTACCCTTGCAGGGCTTACACTCTACGGGCGAGAAAGACAATACACAAATATATGATGTTGGGTGCTAAGTGTGTGGAGAAAAATAAAGCAGGGTAAGGGAAGAGAAAGGGAGAGGATGCTATTTCAGACAGGGTGATCAGGAAGACTTCTTTGATAAGATTACATTTGAGCAGAGCCTTGAATGAAGTGAGGAAGCCATGCAGATGTCTAGGGAAGAGTCTTCCAGGCAGAGGAAAAAGCCCAGTGCAAAGGCCCTGAGGCAGGCAATATACTTGGCAAATCTGAGGAACAGAGAGGTGTGAAGGCATGACTGGAACAGAGTGACTGGGAGGGAGAGGGGTAGGTGATGAGGGCAGAGATGTTGTGGTGGTAGGGATCATGTAGGGCTTTCCTTTGTAAGCCCAGGTAAGGACAAGATTTTAGGATGTTGGGATGATACTCTTTAATGTTGAAATAACAAATGCTTAGAATTTTGGCATCTGGACTCCTAGGACATGCAAGTGGCCAGATACGAGAGTGTTGAAATTCTCAGCTGCGGGAACCACGGGGGTGTGAGACAGAAAATGTTAGACGACGGCTGTTCAAGCCCTGGTCTCAGAGATCGTGAGGATCAGATAAGGCATTTTCAATTGTGGAACCTAGCCCCTCAGAGCTAGCTTGGGGCTTTGCCTACAGGAGATGCTCAATACCGTTTGGGAACTGAAATCAGGTGCCCCCCCCCTGCCCCCACCTCGTTTTGGCAGCTGGGGAATCGGAGGCCCAGAGTAGAATGGGTGTCTTCCAGGGTTACTACTAATCAGCGGTAAAGCTCAGTAAGGACCCAGGAGTCCTGGCCCCAACCCAGGCATGGCTGTTTCCAAGGGACAGGATGTTGGACGATTTGGGCGAGGTCGGGGCAGCCTCTGAGTCTGGGCAGAAAACGGAGGTGGGATGCAAAGATGGATGATTGGGGGGTGGTGGTTAGATCCCTCTTCTCTATCCTGGCTCTACCCCTCCATTCAACTCCCCTCCCCGCCGACTGCGGCCAGCACCACGGCTAGGGGACAGCTCCCGGAGAGCGTCCTCATCCCTGGGTGGGGTCCGGCGCCATATCCCAGAGTCCAGCGCGACCCCCGCCAGCTATCTCAGTACACCCAACCTCTGCCTTGACTCACTCAGGTCCTCCGGGTCAAGTCGCCCCCGTCGCCGCTGGAATGCGGGGGGAGGGGAGAGCTTCCTTTGTCTCCTTCGCCTCCTCCCCCATCCCAATTCTCCCTCGACTCGGCACGGAGGGGTTACTGGGGAGGAGCCCACCCGGGCCTCTGGGCCCCACACCAGGCCTGAACCTCCCCCTACTCACTGCAGTGGGCGAAGACCGGCAGGACCTGCCCCATGGCCCTCCTCGGGCCTGCATCGGGACCCCCGCCCACTCCGGCCACGCCGCCCTGGGCCTGGGGCCGCGGGTGCTCATCTCCGCCGCGCCCACGACGCCGCCGCCATCCTCGCCGCCTCCTCCTCCCGGGCCGCTCCAGCAGCAGCAGCAGCAGCAGCAGCCGCCGCCGCCGCCGCCGCCCTCTGCTCCGCTCGGCGGGGGCGGGCGGGGCCGCGGCGGGGAAGGCACTGCAGCGCGGGGCCGGGGGCGGGGCCAGTGGACCAGCGGGGCGGAACCTAAGGAAGGGCGGGGGCGCCGGTAAACACCGAGGGGCAAGGGAGGGGGCGTGGCTTTCTACGAAAGGGGCGGAGCTATGTTATGCCACTGGGCCGAAAAGGCGCGGAAGGCGGTCTGAAGGGCGGAGCCTGATGGGAGGGGGCGCGGCCTCTAGCGGAAGAGAGGAGGAGCCTAGGGTAGGGCTGGGGAGGGGGCTCCCGGGGAGAATGGTGAAGGCGCCTAGAATGAGGGCGTGGATCTCAGAGCGGGTTGAGGCGGAGCTAGGGGAGGCATTCAGGAGAGGGTATAAAGACTCCACCGAGCCGAGGTAGGGTCCGAGCTGAGAACTTCAGAGGGAGTGGGATAGCGGGCAGGGGAAACTATTCAGAAAGTTTGAGACAAGGGGAGGGGCTCAATATGGGTGGGGCTTAAGTTAATTTAGAATTATGTAGGTAGTTGGGCGGAGTCAAAGACCAAGAAGGTAGAGGCGGGGCCTAGGAAAGTACAGGCAGGAGAGAGGGCGCGGCCCAGAAGGTAGACGTAATCTACCGAGAGGAGGCCAGACTCGCCAGAATGTGAGTACTGGGACAGTAGTTAAGAGGCGGAGCTAAAACTGAGAAAATTAGGAGCGTCTGAGGCTGTGTGTTTGAATGGATGGGTGGGACCTGGAAAAGAAGCAACTGAAGCCCTGGGGCAAGACCCAGAAGTGGAGGGGTCGAACTGAAAAAATAAAGGATTTAAAGATTTTGAAACTGGGGGCGGGACCACTGACGTGGGAGGATTTTAGAGAGAGCAAAGCTGGGGACCCGAAGCTAAGAGTGTAGAGAACATGAATTCTAGAGTTCGTTTCCCTGCAGCACTGTTTACTTCTTTCATGACTCAGTTTCCTTTTCGGTAAATCGGAGATGATGTAAATAGTCGTAGCACATGGTACGTGCTGTTTACTACTACTATTTTTCCGTGACCCAGATCCCAAACATCACTTTATAGGTGCAAGAAAGAGGACACCCAAGAATCCAATCTCTCCTAGTAACTCGACTTGAGTGCAGGTCAAGGGCACAGGAAGGATATTTAGGTGGTTTAAAATCTCACAGTGGAGGGGATTAATGGTGTGTGGGGGCGGGGGCAGGTGCTGAGGGTGGAGGCTTCCTGATCCCAGGGCTGAAGGATGGCTGCCTTTGCCCGCCTGCTGGAGCGTCTCCTCTGGCCAGCTCGCGAAAAACAGGAGTCAGAAGAAGAGGAGGAGGGGCACAGGGCTCAGCACGGGCCTCAGTTGCTCCTGGACGCGCCGCGATGCGTCCAGCGGCCGCACGGGGGTGCGGCCGCGTCTTGTGGCCTGCGCTTCGGGGCGAGCGCTGTGCAAGGCTGGCGCGCGCACATGGAGGACGCGCATTGCGCTTGGCTCGAGCTGCCCGGGCTACCGCCAGGCTGGGCATTCTTTGCGGTCCTCGACGGCCACGGCGGGGCGCGAGCTGCCCTCTTCGGCGCACGCCACCTGCCGGGCCACGTGCTCGAGGCACTGGGCCCAGCGCCTGGCGAACCCGAGGGAGTGCGCGGGGCGCTACGCCGAGCCTTTCTGAGCGCAGACGCACGGCTGCGTGCGCTCTGGCCTCGGGGCGAGCCGGGGGGCTCCACCGCCGTGGCGTTGCTCGTCTCCCCGCGATTTCTGTACCTGGCGCACTGCGGTGACTCCCGAGCGATGCTGAGTCGCGCCGGCGCCGTGGCCTTCAGCACCGAGGACCATCGGCCCCTCCGGCCCCGGGAACGCGAGCGCATCCACAACGCGGGAGGCATCATCCGCCGCCGGCGCCTTGAAGGCTCTCTGGCAGTATCCCGAGCGCTGGGCGACTTTGCTTACAAAGAGGCTCCGGGAAGGCCCCCTGAGCTGCAGCTCGTTTCCGCGGAACCTGAGGTGACCGCCCTGGCTCGCCAGGGTGAGGATGAGTTCTTGCTATTGGCCTCCGACGGTGTGTGGGACGCGATGTCTGGCGCTGCCCTGGCGGGACTGGTGGCATCGCGCCTCTGCTTGGGCCTGGCCCCGGAGCTTCTCTGCGCGCAGCTACTGGACACGTGTCTGTGCAAGGTCCTGAGGGTGGGGCTTGGAATCACTGAGGGGAAGAATTTAAAGGATCTAGGGAGGAGGGATCTTGAGGGAGAGGCTCGCTCAAACTAGAGGGGTAAGGCTCCACTAAAGGGCGTGGCCTGCCGGAGTGGGCAGGGCCAAAATATAGAGGGGCGGAGACTGAGGGCTGTCTAGAAGCAAGATGGGAGAACCCTATAGAGCTGGATAGGCAAGTGGGAGGGACTTAAGAGAAAGGGCGTGATCTTTTGGAACTGACTGCCCTGGGTTTTAGGGTAAGATGAGTGCCAAAAGGGAGAGCAACAGGGCAGCGGAGCGGGAGGAGCTTCGGCGAAGGGGCGCGGTTCTCTGATAGAGTGAGGCTAGAACAGTGAGAGGAAGTGGTCTAGATGACTGGTCCTGGTGGGAGGACTTGGTTTAGACAGGCAGACGGGCAAGACTTGAGAGGAAGGGGCCGAACCAGCCTGGGGAGGTGGGCACTAGAACGCTGAGATTGTTGGGAAGCTGTGCTTCCAAGGGCATGGAGCCCCGTGCGGGGGCATTCAGCCGTGTCCCACCAGGCTCCCTTTTCCCCACTTTCTCCAGGGCAGCCTGGACAACATGACCTGCATACTGGTTTGCTTCCCCGGGTCCCCCAGGCCTTGTGAGGAGGCGATCAGGAAGGAGCTAGCGCTGGACGCAGCCCTGGGCCGCAGGGTCGCCGGTGAGCAGGCTCCAGAAGCATAGCTGGAGGGGTGGTCAGCGGGCAAGGACATCCCCGTAATCCTTGCCTCCTTCTCAGAGCTGTGTTCCTCTGCTCAGGAGCCCCCCAGCCTGAACACGGTTTTCTGGACTCTGGCCTCAGAGGACATCCCAGATTTACCTCCTGGGGGAGGGCTGTACTGCAAGTGAGTGTGTTGGGGGGGGTGAGGTGGGATGGCGGGGTGGTAGAAGGAGGGTCCCCTCCTGAGGGTCTCTCTCGGCTCTCCAGGGCTGCTGTCCTTGCTGAAGCTTATTCTCAGCTCTGCCAGGCCTCGGGACACCACTGGCAGGTAAGGACCCTATGTTCTTGAATGTTTCTCTTAGAAGCCTGAACCCCAGCCCTCCTACCTCCTTTAGTGTTGGGGAAATTGAGGCCAGAGGAGACAAGGGACTTGCCTGGTATATTAATAAATTCTCACTCCTGGCCCTGAAGCGTTGTGCTAGACATGATGGGGGCAGGAGAGGGGGTAAGCAGAAGCAGAGAAGAGACTGCTCCTCTTCCGGAGACATGTGTCCCCTGCATTACTCTGTAAGGCCCCATCATCCCAAGCACCACCCCCTCCATCCATAAATAAGGCAGAAAAATTCCAGGAATGTTTATGACCAATCCCAAGCCCTGAATGTGCTGCAGAGACCACCAGGGACATCTCTGAGGATGGTCTGGGTCTTGGACAAGAGAAGTGGTGAATCGGGCGCAGACAGAATTTGGAGCTGTCCAAAGAGGTGGTGGAGTCAGGGAGGAAATGGGAGGGAGGGAGCTGGGGCTCAAGCCCCCAGTCCTTTGCATGGCAGAGAAGGGAATTCAGGTAAATAACCTGGAGGAGAAGGGGGGGATTTTTGATAATTCCCCAGCAGCAGTAGGAGGTATTTGTCAGGATTGTTTGATTTACAATTGACAGAAACCCAATTCCACATGGGAAAGCAAAACAGGGAACTTACTGGGTCATGTCATTGAAGACTTCAAGGACGGAAGGCATGACTACTCCAGTTGTCAGATGATGTCATCAGGAAGCACCTCTCAGTTTTACTTTCTCATCACTGACTTCATTTGCAGGCAGGATCTCTGCACAAGGTAGCAGAGTTGCAGTTCTAGCCTCCCATCCCAGGAGCCCAACATCCCCAGTGGAGAGAGTTCACCAGGTTCCTAGTAGCGGAAGCCCTGGTTCCATGGCTGGTTCTCACTGGCCACACTGGACCACATGTCTGACCAGTCACCATGTCTCTGACTGGCCAGGCTGGGGTCATGTGCCCACCCCTAGCGCTTGGGGCTGAGGTCCATTCCACGCAAACCAAATGGATTGGGAGATGGGGAATGGTGGCCCCTCAAAGGCAAATAGGACTGATGCTTCCAGAATAGAGGGGAGCAGATACTGAGAACCAAGAAGAGGTTCTTCTTAGCCATTTCCCACCTTCTTTGTTACAGAAGGGCCCGAATGGGGCTGGAAAGCCCGCTGGCACCCATTCAGACTCTTCCTTAGACTTGAAGCCCTGACAGCCGTTGCCCTTTGGGGATCCTCTGCCCAGCCGCGGCCTCAAAGGAACTAAGGAAGAGAACCTCTTCCCCAGCTACACAGACCAGCGGAAGGAAGACAAACAGATGGAGGAACCCCGGAATGCTTATTTCCCCTTCTCCTCCTTCCCTCTCACAGAAAGTCTTATGAGGGGAAATTCCACCCACCCTCTGAACTTAAAAAAAAAAAAAAAGAAGAAGGAAAGAAACAAAAAACCACCCCAAACCAAATCAAGTGTTTTTGAAATACTTTGAGCTGAATGGACCCTTGCGTGATCACCCAGTTCAATAACCTTCTCTTCCATTCCCATTTTTCATCTGTTTTGGGGGGAGTTAGGGGAGAGTATTTATTATTAAATTTTAATGATATATAACTCAAGATAAATTTCTCTTATAGAAACAACAACAACCCAGACATTATTTGTCTTGTCATTTGGCAGAGATGTACTGGGCACCTGCTGTGTGCCAGGCCCTGCTCCCAGCCATCAACCAGGCAGAACCACTGAGATCCCACCCCTCCCTCTCCCTGGGGGCCCACCTCCTCCTGTGTGTGGGGGAGACAGCGAACAAGGGAAGCGATATCATTTCAGATACTGATGAGTGTCTCAAGGAAAGTAAAACAGGACAGGGTGATAAGATGTCTAGGGGAGCTACTTTGCTTTTTTTTATTGTTTTTTTTTTTTTTTGAATGGGGGAAAAGTTCACTTGGTTCAAAATTCAAAGGGCACAAAATGTTGTACAAAAATGAAAGGTCCTGGGATCAAGCCCCCAAGCATTCAGCCGGGCTCCCTGCTCAACAGGGAGCCTGCTTCTCCCTCTCCCTCTTCTCTCCCCCTGCTTGTGCTCTCTCTCTGTCAAATAAATAAATAAAATCCTTTAAAAAAAAATGAAAAGTCTTGATCACTGAACCAGACAAAGCATTGCTGACCCATGAGACTAACACGTGAAAATTATTTAAAAATATTTCAATAAAACTGCCTGGCTGGCTCCGGGCTGCCCCCATAAAAAAAATAAAAAAAGAAAGAAAGAAAGAGAAAAGAGAAGTCTTCCTCCGCCCTACTCCTTAGCCACTCAGTTTTCCACCTGGGATTTTAAATAGGGGGATCAGGGAAGAACTCTGAGAAGGGGCCAGCCATGCAAGTATGCCAGGGAAGAGGCAAAAGGAATAGCCAGTGCAAAAGCCTAGAGGCTGGATGGAACGTGGCATTTTCAAGATGAGGCTTGGGATATCTTGAGATGTCTCTGACCATCAAATGCCCATTCTCTATCCTATAAGTGACCAGCGTAATGAGTTTGGCGTGGATCTTTCCAGACCTTTTACTCTGCGTGTACACACACGTATGTGGTACCCTTGGTGTTTCCTTGCTTTTTTTCATACTGTGTGTCACTTGGCAATTGTTCTTTTTTTTTCCCTCAGTGATATGTTTGAGACTACTTTCATGCCATTTACACACCTCATTTTTTTTTCCGCTGCTGCCCAGCACTGCAGACAAGGGGATCTGCAATGGTTTCGCTATCCATCCTTCTCTTGATGGACATTTTTTTTTAAGATTTTATTTTTTTGATTTGAAAGAGATAGAGAGAACATGAGGAGGAGGGAGGCGCAGAAGGAGAGGGAGAAGCAAACGCTGCCGAGCAGAGAGCCCCACATGGGACTCGATCCCAGGGTCCCAAGATCATGACCTGAGCCAAAGGCAGACACTTAACGGACTGAGCCATCCAGGCGCCCCTTGATGGTCATTTAAACTATTCCCAATTTCTTGCTCACATCGCTGCTGCCACAAAGATCCTTGATCAGGTTTCCTGTGTACATATGCCAGTCTCTCTAGTGTAACGGGTCCTGCCACCTGTTTTGTACAGCACCTGAGCTAAGAATGGTTTTTACATTTTTAAAAGGATGGAAGGAAAAAGGGGAATATGTGAAAGAGACCCTATGTCTGATATGCCCCAAATATTTATTATTTGGACCTTTATAGAAAACTTTGCTGGGACGCCTGGGTGGCTCAGTCAGTTTAACATCTGCCTTCAGCTCAGGTCATGATCTCAGGGTCCTGGGATCAGGCCCGCTTTGGGCTCCTTCCTCCGCGGGGAGCCTCGTTCTCCCTCTGCCTGCTGCTCCCCCTGCTCGTGCGTGCGCTCTCTCTCTCTCTCTCTGATAGATAAATAAATAAATAAATAAATAAACAAAATCTTAAAAGAGAAAAGAAAGGAAACTTTGCTGAACGAAATGCAGGCGGCACACAGAAGTACTAGCCCTCCCATTTCACAGATGGGAAAGCTGAGCCACAGAGAGGCGAAAAAAGTTGCCTGAGGTCACAAAGAACTGGGGTTCTCATTCTGTCGGATAAATGTGTGTTGAGCTGCTGTTCTGGGCCTGGCTAGATTGAGTGAGGCACAGAAACTGATCAAGTCTATCCCTGTCCCCAAAGAACTTACAGCTGAGGAGACAGAGTGGGAAATAATTACAACCTAGGTGGCTTAGCCTTCAAGAACTCCCAGAGCAGGGTAGATAGGGGAGATTACTCAGTTCTTTAGAGAAGAATTAATGTCAGAGCGTGGCCTCAAAGGATGAAGTGAAGGAGGTCAGAACAGCATCCAGGTAGAGGGCCAGGCTTGAATAAAGCCTGGGAAAGGTGATTCCTTTACCTGGTCAGCTGTGCCCTGCAAATTGTTGGTTTCACACTCCCACCTCGCACCCAGGCACCACTGTGATTCTGAGGGCTCAGGCAAGAGGGCTGCGGCCCAGATTTACTCCTTACCTCCAGGCCTCAGTTTACCCATTTGTGAACGTTGCCCTGATGACTTCCCAGGCATCCTGCGCACGCCTAGGGCACCTGACTCGGGCCAGGTGGCGCTCTACGGGAGGGGAGGGGCCACTAGTGGCGTCACATGGGGCGGGGCCTGCGGGACTCGCTGCGGAAGCCTGGGAGGGTGTTGGGGCTGAGCCCCAAGCCGCCGCGTGGGGGAGGGGGTTCCCAGGAGCCAGCACTAGGGTGGGTGCCCCTGCCTCCGCGCCCTCCTATTGCTGGATGATCCCGCCATCCTCTGCGGGCGAAACTGAGTCACGGAGGGGCGTGCGTGGGGAGAGGTCCAGGGGCTTTATCCACACGGGAACCTGGAGTCCCACCCCCACCCCTACCCCTCGGCTGTGAGTCAGCGGCCGGCCGCGCCCCCTCGGCCCACTTCCTCCTCACCTTCCTGGGGCGGGGGGGGCGGTGAGAGGGATGGGACCCTCCACGCCCATTCCCCTCCTGTGCTGGGAAAGGGGGTTCACCCCTTAGTAGCCCTTCATAAATTGGCAAGGAAGAGAGACATTGCGGGTCTGAAGGTAGCATTTAAGGGAGAAAATCTGAGAGAATCTATGTTTAAGCAGAGGATTGTCTTCGCCCCCCACCCCCAAACTGAGCAGAATGTGAAGAAATGGAGAAGTCGTTGGGTAGGGTGAGAAGAAATTGTGTCCTCATTAAGGTCCTAAGAATTTCCATCGTGCGAGAGAACGAGGGATCAGGAAGGATCCCTTACCTCCACCAAACTTGCCCTCTAATTTGGGGGTGACCCTCGGCGTGCATCTCTATGCAATACCGTTGGGGAAGAAGTAAATAGCGGAAGTCTAGGGTTCCGCGTTGCCCTTTTAAGCGCCCTTCACACCCCCACGCCACTGTCTTGAGATGTCTGCGGCCCCTTTAAGGCGCAGGGCATTGTGGGTGCGGGGAGTGGAATTTTGGAACGAAATGTAGCGAAGAGAAGTACAGTAGTAAGAGTAACATTGTATCCGCCGCCGGCCGAGGGGGCGCGCCGGGGACGGGACGCCGCACCCCCTTTCTGCCGCAGGGATCCCCGATCAAACCTCCGGAGGGAGGAGGCGCCTGAGGACCCGCCCCGGCCCCGTCCACGTTCCCCCCCAGGAAGCCGGACTCTATGGGGCGGGACCCTGGGGGAGACTGAGCAGAATCTGGAGCCAGCCCCGAACCCCTGAACCTTGAGCCAGGGGCGCCCCGGGAGCACCCACCCGTGGGTGCGCCGCCCTCCCGCTGAGCAGCCATGAGGTGAGCCTCGAACTGCCTCCAAACCCTTCCGCGCTCCGCGCGGGCTCCCCGCCCCGCCTTTGTCCCCCTCCCTCAGCTTGCTCCGGGCTGGAATTTGGGGACAGGGCACTGGGGGCCTCGGATTTGAGGCCGAGCCCCCTTGGACGAATTCCAAATACTGACCACTTCGCCATGACTCCTAAGGCTTGGGGTGGTGCCTGTGAGGCTCTCCTGGGAGCCCTTAGATTTGGGGGCGCTCTGAGGACTCCCGAATTTCTTAAAGACTTTTCAGAGAACCTCCAAGTTGGCAGATACTCCCTGCATGGAGGCCAGGATTTAGGCAGGGCTCAGACTCTCCCCAAATCTCAACTTGGGCTCTGGGAGGGATTGGGGGGCCGGTTTGGGGGTCCCTGGGACCTGGAAGAGAGATTTGAGACGTAGACCTTGGCTTGCGGGGTCTCCCTTTACGTGGCGCTGGAAAAAGCCTTCCCATGTGGGACCTCGCTTAACTTCGGGGTTACTTAACCCCCTAAATTTGGGGGGCTCTCGTCCTCCTGTGGAGGTTGGTGGGGACGGACCCACGGACCCAGACGCAGCCTCGAGGGTCTGCTTGGGACTCCCCTCCCCCGCTGCTCCCCACCCACATTCTGCTTGAAACCAGCGGTGCCTAGGACGGAGCTCCAGCGCTCAGAGTGGAGGGCGACTCCCTGGCCCCGGGCCAGAAGGGCGGCCCCTCGCCCCCACCTGCGCGGTCCTGGGGAGGGAGGGGGCGCGGCAGCTGGGGGGAAGAGGGGCCTTTGTCTTCCTGACTCACCTGTCGAGACAGCTGGTGTGGGGGGGCGGGCAAGGAGCGCTGTGGGCCGGCTGCTTTCCCCACCACGCGCCTCCCCCTGCTCTCAACCACCGCCCCCCTTCCTGGCCATCCAGAGCTGTGGGGTTGGAGGGGGCGCGCTGTGAAGCTTCAAGGTCATAGCCCTCTCCCCCTGGGACCCAGGCTTCCAAGACCGTCCCAGCTATCTTCCCAAGAATTTAATCTTGGGGGGTGGGGGGGCCCAGAGGACCCAGGGATTTTGTCTTACCCGGTCCTCCCTCAGAACTCCGGGGCTCACCTGAGGGCGGGGCCAGT